TTCCCTACTTTCGCAGCAGCACGATCTCTACAAGTTTGGCTTTTTTGATTCCTTGCTGTTTTCTCTGTTTTCTACCCTACGGCTGGCATTCATTGCTTGCGCGGTGTAAACCAGTGGTTCCCAACCTTCTTTATACTGCGGACCAGCAAACTCACTCAAAGAATTTTGGTGGACGGGGTATAGAAACAAACCAATTTGCATATTTAAATTTGTACCCGGGTGCGGGTTGAGGCATTGCTGTTGCGGCCACTGGGGGACCTTGCAGGGGAGGGGGCTGTGCAGGCAGTGGCCCAGGGGGACCCCCCTGGGACTGCCCAGATAGAAGGGGCTCTGCTGCCTTCCCTAGGAGCAAGCAGCGGAGCTGCCTCCCCACCCTCTGCCCTGGGCATTTCCCCACCCACATCCCCCTGCTCCCAGCTGTGGGTGGGGCTGGAGGGACCTGCCCAGCCTGGTGTGGGTCCTGGTACCTGTTGCGCAGGCAGTGTCTCACTGGGCATGGGTACGGCCATGGTGGTGGGAGCAGGACGGGGCACACAGAGCCATCTGCTTCCCTCCCAGGGCTCACCCGCTGCCCAGCTTTAACCCTGCGTGTGACTGCCAGTAGCAGAAGCCGCTCACCCAGGTGGACAGATGGGGATATGAGGAGGGGCTCATGCCACAACCTGGCAGCCAACCCTTCGCGGCCCGGTACCAGGTCACAGCCTGCTGGCCTGCCCTTAACTCTCCATTTGTGTGAATGGGAGTTACTTGGATCCTGAAGGGAGTGGACCCCTTTCTGAGTAGGTGAACGTCATTTTGATGTCCGTTTGATTAAATTCTGTTCGATGTTATAACAGACCTTAAGCCAAACTTTCCAGGTTAATTGCATTATTTTCTACTTTGTCGTTCTTGTTTTAAGAATGGCAAATGTTTTGTTACACTGAAAGAGTATCAGACTACAAGCTTACTGCACCTAGCAAGGATACGATAAACTCGCTGACACCCAGAAACTCGCTGTGTTCCTCTGCATGCACTTTTGTTCTGACTGGAAGCAGCGTAGCTGCATTTGTTAACACTAGAGGCCGGCTAATTGGCACTTTCCCTCAGTGGTGCTAATGAGTTTACCCCTGGTACTGCACAACTACAGAAGTTGTTTCTGGTTGGGGTAGCATACCAGAGGAGTGCTGAGTCTTTGCAGAGCCAGCTGCCAGGTATGGAAAATTTGCCATGTAGGTGTAGCCTTAGAAGATTTTGGGCACAATTAAAGATAAATTGCAAAGTAATGCCCAGGAAGGAGATGATTAGTTGCAAATAAAAAGGAACTGCACTTCTTCACTTTGATATTTGTACCGGAGTTTGGCATTGAATTTTCTGGTTTTTACAAATATGTCTAATGTACAACTGATTGAGAGAACAGTGGAAAGATATAATTCATAGATTCATAGATGTTAGGGTCAGAAGGGACCTCAATAGATCATCGAGTCCGACCCCCTGCATAGG